AGGGGATTGCTCCCGGATCCCCCGCTCAAGGAATCATGAGAAGCTAGATATGAGACCTTGGAGTGGTCAGTGATCGTATTTCCTAAGGGGAGAGGGAGAGGATGACAGGTGATACCACTGGATTCAAGGTTCAACACTCCCTTACCTGGGGGGGATTGGGCCCGGCACCCATGCTGTGGCACCATCTGTGCAGTGAGGAGTGCACCCCTCTGGAAACCCACTGATGCGGAGAAGTTTGGCCCAGCACCCCTGTGAGTTCAACAGACTTTGGGTGGGAGTTTGTATTGGACAGTTACGGCTTATTGCCGGAGTTAAGTGTTTTCGATCCCATTATGATCAATGCTGATCATCATGTAAATAATAAAGACAAAGATGTTAGAATTAAGAAGACGTCTCCTGTGATATTTCCCGCGCAAAATGAGAAGTCGTCAAAATTTGAAACTGAACCCGATCACACTAAATATAAATATAAAAGATGTAGTTACTGACCTTGAAAATACAACTTTTGTTTCTCCTGAAAGTAAGTGCCATTGGTTTCTATGGAACCTACTGCTCGATAAGTGATTAAAATAGGACTGAAGTAGCTGGATGCTTTCAGAAGAAGTTTTATAGTGCAATCACATAGTCTTGCTAATGAATTTTTTTATTGCACTTTGATTACAATATCTTCAGATTTTAGCCTTTGTATGTTTTCCTGCCACATCTTCCTTTTCCTCCTTTCTTATCTGAGCAGCCTTCTCTGAGCTGGTCCCCTGTGGAAGAATCCGTGCCCCATTCCTTGAATGTTACCTTCTGTTCTTTAATCAGGAAAAAACATTAAGGAGGAAAACACAGAATAGCTACTAGAATACAAATTCTTTGAAAATAAGTTTTAGAAGTAACTTTCTAAGTTTTGTTATTTTGTGAGAAGTTGCACTTCCTTTTCTTCTAGGGCCTTTTTTGGGGGGTGGTGGGGTGGCATAATTATTGTGATGTGATATTTGCCCTGAGGAATGAAAATGGTTGAAATGAACATTGAGGACATTATTCTGCCTTCTAATACCAAACAACTTCTTGATGCCCATATCTGTTTCAAGTAGAGTGAAGGGGAAACGCAAAGCCATGCATAATGAATTTGTTTCTGAGTATTCACATTTGCATGGAACCATCGCGTACAACAGGTAAGGGTCAACAGAGAACCCAAAGTTCTGCAGAAGGACAAAATCAATAGAAAACCTTATGTAGTGGGGGCATCACCTTGTTGGGACTGGGTATAATATACAGAATCATGCTAGGTCACACAGCAATGTTGAGTATGAATCAAATCCAGTGGTGCCTTGACTTACAAACTTAAGCTGTTCTGGAAGATGGTCGTAACTCGAAATGGTCATAAGTCAAAGCACCATTTCCCATAGGAATGCATTGAAATGCAATTAATCCGTTCTGACTGAAGGAAACAAATCACCAAAAAAAACCCCTGCAAGACCCATCGGAAACGTGATTAATCCATTCTGGCGGAAGGGGGGGGGAGAAAAGCAAGCAAAATGGGCAAGACCCTTCGGAAATGCAAAAAAAGCAAAGCAGAAGGCAAGCAACGTGTGCAGGACCCATCAGAAATGCAAAAAAAAAAAAAAAAGCAAAGCAAAAAGTAAGCAAAATGTGCAAGACTCATTGGAAATGGGGGGGGGGACCCAAAAGGCAAACAAACCCTCCAAGCCCCATTGGAAATGTGGAGGGAAAACACCCAAAATCAAACAACCCCCCCGAAACTCATCACAGCACAGAAACATAACCCCCCAGCCCAAGACTATGCTGCAAAAACTCACCCAGAACAGTTTTTAAAAAGAAGAAAGCAGCACCTTACCTTACCAGGCAGTCTGAAGCCTCCTCCGATTGCACACTCTCTAACTGCTGGGGTGAAAGAGCTACAAAGAAACAGCCTCTTTGCCACCAACGGTTAGTACATTTGAATTCCCTGCCTTTTCCCCTGCCTTTTTTTACCATAACTGGAAGCTCTGGCCTGCAAGTAGAAGCAAAATTTTGTGGCTGGGGCTGGTTGTAACTCGAAATGGTCGTAAGTCAGGACGTTCATAAGTCGAGGCACCACTGTATGGAAAAGTAAGGAAATCAGCTTGACCACCAAGTGCAGATTAGTTTGCACCATAATGTTCCCCATAACTACATATAGCTGTGAAAGTTGAATGATGAAGAAGGTGGACAGAAGGAAAACTGATTCTTTGTGCTATGGTGTTGGAGGAGATTTTTGCGCATTCCATGGACTGCAAAGATAACAAATAAAGAAGTGCTGAAGCACATGAAACTGGACATGTCACTGGAAAGCAAAATAGTTATTTTGGCCATGTCATGCAATCAATATCTTTGGAGAAAGACATTATGCTTGAAATGATCAGTAGTAAAAGACAATTAGGACACCAAAGAACGTGTTGGTTGGATGTAATCAAAGCAGACGCTGGCCAAAATGCAAAGCAGCTGAATGAAGCTGTACAAGATCAGAAATAATGGAGGGAGCTGGCTCATGAAATCACCAAGGGTTGGATGTGACTGAATGGATAATTCGATTTGAGATTCATACAGAATATGGGCTGTCATTCAGAGGGGAAGGGAGGTAAAATCATGGTTGGCGGTGAATCTAGTAAGCTAATAGAGGCCTTCAGTACTGAACACTGGAACTCTGCACTGAAGCATTTTGCTACTTGTACATTGTAATGTGATGTGTCTGCTCGGGTCTCTCACATAAAGACTGAGGTCAAATGAAAATAGTATGTGTTTCAGGACTCAAGTATTTATGCCTGAACATCATCTCCCGAAACATACTAAACACAATGTACAGCTATATATCCATTGGTAACAAGGCCATCATAGTGAAAATTTGTACATAATGATTTGTGTGAAGTTCAAACATCAGCTTGACTGTTATGTCTGCTTTTAAAGAGATAGAAGAGGTAAAGTGCAGTATAATGTGATATTTGAAGAGACACACCTCTTGCTAATTACTGTATTTTTCTACAATCAAAATAAACATGAATATGTACCTTCATCTCATCTCACTTTTGTACTTTTTCAAAAGTAAAAACAGTGCACTATTACCCTGTTTCCCTGAAAATGAGACGTAACCTGAAAATAAGCCTTAGTATGATTTTTCAGGATGCTTGTAGTATAAGCCCTACCCTAAAATAAGCCCTAGTTACGTGAAACCCCACCCTCCACCATTGTGCAGCAACCAGAAGAATATGACATGACTGCATTTGAATAAATGTAGGTTGTTGTACATGGGAAAAAATAAAACATCCCTTGAAAATAAGCCCTACCGTGTTTTTGGAGCAAAAAATAATATAAGACCCTGTCTTATTTTCGGGGAAACATGGCCATCTCTAGTTACAGTTTTAAAACAAGAAGGGAAAGCTTGATTGTGAAATTCCAATCTCATAGTGCAACTTGGTGAAACCAATTCTCCCAGGGTTAAGATAACAAATGATACATTTATCCCAGTTTCTGTTGAGAAGTCAAAACAAATGTTATTTTGACTATTTATCTCCTGTGGACTCATTTGCCCTGCCCTGTACGTAGATGGTGGGTTGAAAAGTCATGGCTCAAACAATCATACCTTGCCTCACCAAAAGTATCTTACGTTGGCTTTTCAATATTCTCAAGTCTTTTAAAGTCATATAGGCGAGGGAATTAATTCTAAAACTGAAGGAGATTTTTCAGGAATTCCCATTCTGCATGTCACCACTAGTCATACAGATGCTGCTAACAAGAGACTGTAAATGCAGTGACTGTGGGGCTTGTTTTGAATGAAATCCAAATCCAAAAACAAAACAAGTTTCTTTGAGGTGATTCAGGTATTTTACATGGCAAAGGAAGGCATCCCCTGAATAGCTCTAAGGGAACAGGCTGTATCTGCTCTCAGGTCTGCCTCAGAAATGTGGAGAATGCACATAAAGTCTCAGATTATATGTTAAAAATAGTTATTTACATTTCCCATCAAGGACCCATAAAAGAAGAAGAGGCAAGGGGAAGGGAGACAAAGATGTGAATTTTGTGACTAAGAGCTGGAGGTTCCAGTCAGGAAATAATATTACTAAAGCTGGCTTGCTTGCCTGCCATCTCCCAGACACAATGGGCTGGGAAGAAAATACAAGGTGTCAGTTGTTGCCTGCGTCAACTGGCTGGGAAGAAAATACAAGGTGTCAGTTGTCTGCGTCAACTGAGGAAAAAAAAAAAAAAGAACAAGTCCTCATACTGCTTCCCATCATAATGTCAGCTTTGGAACCTGTCTGAAATTTTCCAGGTTGCTTACATTTGGGCACCTCCACAGTGCTTATTTGCCATGTTTATATCAGTTGTCCCTCAAAACACCCTGGAGCAAAATGAATCGACCTCAAAACTGTCATGGCAAACTCTGCAAAAAAACCTCTGCAGTGGTATCTCTGGAAATGGCCAACCTTTGAATTACTACCTGCAAATACTACCCAGTTCTGACAGGAAACAAATAATAATCTTCATACTTTAAAACCCACTCACATTTCTTTGAATATGCACAAAAACATAAGCAAAAAAGACCACATCATCAGTTTTGCCCAGTTCTCCCACACAAGAGCAGCTGTTTTTATTTATACCTGTAAGCAACTTTTGGACCTGTTTTATGAGTCCTCTCATCTTCAAGTGTTGTTTCATGTTATTAAATTTCACTCTAGAATCTTGTGAAGTAAAATAGGCACAGACATTTTTTTTACTTTTTGCATAAAAGCCCATTGGGAAACAGACTGTAACTCTGCTTCAGACCTGTGGCAATACAGACCAATGCCCAAAGAGGTCTGAGATGAACAGGATAAGTGTTTGAAGTGTTGAAGTGGAACTTGAGAAAAAATCTGGTCTTCAGTGACGCCGCTAACAGAGAGCACAAGGGAATTTTAAGGTATGCAGTAGATAATTTTATTTATAAATAAATACATTTATTTATATAATATGCTTGATGAAGATGTGAATTTTTCATCACAATGGACAACCAAACATCATTTTATGAAACCAAGATACAGAGGAACCCAGAGCAGCATAAACTAATGTTACCACAATTTCGTTTTCACAATACACCAGTGAAATCAGTTGAACCAAGTGATAATCGGTCTAAAATAGTGATGGGGATGAACTGTCCATTTGGCGGAGAACTGAACAGGCGTGTTCCGTGGCTCAGTGCCCCATCCCCTCTGGCGGGTGCCCACTCAAAGGCACTGCCCGGAGGAGGCGGGGCAGGGAAGCTGTGATGCTGCTTCTGAATGGGTGCCCACTCTAGGGTCAGGGTGCTGAACTGTGGAACACGTCTTTGGCTGTCCACTGGTTTGTGCCCATCTTTTCTCTGAAATAATCCACGGAACCTCAGGACCAATCTTCCATTAGATAAAGTAAACCTTAGGCAGCATGTGTTAGGAAAAAAACTAACAAATTATAGGGTGTGGTAATATTAATGCTGTATTTCTATTGTCAGGGAGAGAAATATGTAGGGTTTAGCAGGCATGCCGAAGTAACCTGGGCCTTATGCATGTCACATGAGGGAAAAAAGCATCATTTGCTTTTGTGCCCCAGGCAGCCAAATGTCCTGGGCTGATCCTGCTATGCTTGGTGTCTGTGCAAGGAGTTGAGCTGATTCCCTGCCTCACCTATCCTGGTACAGCAGTCTGTCAGCTGCTTCAGACTGGCTCTCTCTGTTTCCTCTGTCCTTGCCACACCACCTCTGCAGTGCCAGCCCACCTCCTCAATGAGCAGGTAGTAAAAGAGGCCTTTGGCCTTCCGTAGTCCAAAACCTGCAAAGGACTGATGCTAGGTAGAAGGACAGCAAGGAAGGTCTGTAGCCAGCAGAGTGCAGCCAGCATGAGTGCAATATAAATTTGACTTTGCTTTGCAAATGGGGAAAGAGAGAAAATAACATTTTCCCCTCTGTTCTTGGTTAGACAGGTGCACACCCTATAGAAGGAAACATGATTGTATCAAAGTACTGTAAATTGGAATCGTTTCACCCTGCAGTGTTCTGTCTATAGTCTTGCTTGTAAAGTCCTACGTATTCTTTACTAGTAAGAACTTACCTCAACACTCAATGGTTTATGATGATACTTTATAAATTAAGTGGTGTGTAAGCACAGTTTTCTCCTGGCAAGGTTTCTGCAGAAGTATTTTGCTATGGCATGAGTATGCCCTAGCTTAGACCAGTCGATCTTGGGTAACCCAAGTGCAGCCCAAAAACACTCGGGTCACCCAAGGTTGGGAATGTAAGGAGGAGACTAGAGAACCAGCTAAGAGTGAGCCGTCCCCTCAAACAATTGGTCTAGGAAAAGAAAGACCGAGGAAACAAAAGACAGAAAGATGAGCGGAAGAGCTAGAGGAGAGTCGCACGGTGGAGTTAGAAAAGGCTCGAGACGAGAGAACATCAGGAGAGGAGGGACAGTTTAAACGGTTAGAAGGAGCTGAGGCAGGAGCAAGAAGGACGGTGTACAGTGGACCCTCGACTTACAGACGGCTCGACTTACAGACTTTTCGAGTTACAGACTTCTCTGGCTGCAAAATTTAGATTCGACTTGCAGCCAGAGAATCAACCTACAGACCAGAAAAAACCCAAAATGGAACAAAAATAGAATAAAAACCGCTGGTTATGGGATTAATCGGTTTTCAATGCATTGTAGGTCAATGGAGATTCGACCTACAGACTTTTCAACTTGCAGCCACCATTCCAATATGGATTAATTCCTTAAGTAGAGGGTCCACTGTACCACGAAAGGGAGAAAGTAGATATATTTCTGACAACTGAAGAAGGAGCAATCTCTAGAAAAACCAAGAAAGTGACAGTATTTAGAGAGAACACATCAGGAGAAACAGATAGAGATGCTCAGGTCTTTTCAGTGCCAGTAAAAAGATCAGCACAAAATCCGATAGGCGAAGAAACCGAAAACTTTGGTGCCAGTAAAGTAAGACCTATCATTCCCGGTCTAAGTCCTGAAGAATGGACCGTGTTGGTCTACCCGAGGAACCAAGGTCCTGCCCAACTGGTACACCAGGTGCCCCCAGAGATAGAGAAGAAACTCTTGAGAGAGGGAGACTGGGCTCGCCACCCGTGTTGCGGGACCTTATGTGCGCTCTGCAACAACTTCCTGAGGCAACCAACGGAGGAAGAGGAAAAAGCAAAAACCTATTACTGAAGCGGGACATGGTGGCGCTGCGGGCTAAACTGCAGAAGCCTGTGCTGCAGGGTCAGAAGACCAAGCAGTCGTAAGATCGAATCCATGCGACGGAGTGAGCGCCCGTCACTTGTCCCAGCTCCCATCAACCTAGCGGTTCGAAAGCATGCAAATGCGAGTAGATTAATAGGGACCACCTCGGTGGGAAGGTAACAGCGTTCCGTGTCTAAGTCGCACTGGCCATGTGTCCACAGAAGATTGTCTTCGGACAAAACGCTGGCTCTATGGCTTGGGAACGGGGATGAGCACCGCCCCCTAGAGTCGAACCCGACTGGACAAAAAATTGTCAAGGGGAACCTTTACCTTTACCTTTATTACTGAAGGACTTAAACGAAGAGAAGTCATTGTTGTGGTTATGGGAGAGTTCTCCTCCCCAGTTATCTATACAAAGTTCAATTGTTCGTAACAAAGAAGATTTAAACAGTTCTATTAATAAAAATTCTTTATTTGATCATTCTGAATCCTCATTTGTATCGCCTGAGAGAGAAATGCCCAAAGGTAACCAAGAACCCACTCACAGGGAACTACTGGCTTAATTTCTCCAGCTGACAGCTATGGAGAAGTAGAAACTATTGCATGTCTTCTGCTTTCAGAACTTTTGGACTCAGAGGACTCCTCTGAAATTAACATTAGCCCAGAAAGAATTGCCATCAATTGTGTTGTTATCCCTTTGGAGCCTCAGATGAACATCTTTTCAGAATACTGGGAATTCATTCAGTTTATTGTACCCTAGCTTATCAGGTTTTTGTGCAAAAGTAACTGAGAACAATAATCAAACAGAATATAGGATAAAATCAAGTGTAGGAAATTTACTAAAATACAGCATCAAGTAATTATTTAATTAGCTAATTATTAGTTTATAGAAACACAAGTCATCATCAAGGGGAATAAAAAAAACCTTCTATTTTGTTATGCTACGTATCCTTAGGTTGCACCCCACTTAATTCTAATAAGTTTTTCAAAGTATATGAGAAGTTTAAGGAGTGGCTTCACCATTGCTACTCCCCAGTGAGTTTCTGTGGTCAAGCAGAGATTTGAACCCAGGTTTCCTGAGTTCTAGTCCATCTCCATCTTCTAAACCACACGGAGTCTCAATTCTGCCTTACGGTGACCCTTTCCAAGCTTTTCTAGGTAGAGTATACTCAGAAGTGTTTTATCATTCCCTTCTCTCTTGGGGGTGCCCTTGGAGTGCGCAGCTTGCCCAAGGTTACACAAGGCCGGCACTTCTCTTGGGAGGAAGCAAATTCACAAACTCTAGCACTGCAGCCAGATATCCAACTCACTGAGCATATCTAGCAATCATGTAATGGTAAAATGTCATGTAATAATCTCTTCCTGCCAATATAAACACAAGCTTATTTAAATATATATTCTCCCCAAATACCAGCAAGCATGGGTTCAACGGGTTGCAGTGTTTAGTCCAGATACAATGGATGCCCTAAAAAAGGCATAAACAAAGCCCTCTACCTTCCCACAACTAATAGGACAATAGCTACTTATCTTTCATTGACTATTTAAAAATTCCTTGACCTCTATCAACTGCAAGGTGCTTAATCTGCATTTGATGATAAACCCCTTAAGAGCATATGAACATAGGGATGGTGAAAGCGAAATATGGGCCACATTCCAAGGGGAGACAAATATTTATGCAACTTTCTAGAATAGAAGTTTACAAGTGTGGAAGTAGCCTGAGCATCAACTAAACATCTTGTAACTTCCAAATGCATGTCCTTATAGCACATTGTAATTAAATAAGCTGCTGAAAAGCCCAATTGAGAAATGGCTCCACACCTTAAAAATACTGTAATTCACGAGGCAGTCTGTAGACTGTCATAAACCATCCTCTCCACATCAACATGCAGATTTTCAAAATCCCTGTGTGGGTTTCAGCCTAGTTGTGTAACTGAGAGCGTTTTGGTTGTTCTGGTGGATGACCTAAGCTAGAAGCTGAATGGAGGTGGGCAGCACATCTCTGTTGTTCTGAGGGACCTCTCAGCAAGCTTATTTATCAAATCCAGGTCCCTGGCTTAGATGGAGTTAGGGTCCATTTTTGTATACTATTTCCAATCCTACCCAGAGGATAGGTCCCAGAATCTTCAGTGGGATGTTGTTGTTTAATAGTTTAGTCGTGTCTGACTCTTTGTGACCCCATGGACCAGAGCACGCCAGGCCCTCCTGTCTTCCACTGCCTCCCGGAGTTGGGTCAAATACCGGAGTTCGGTGGGATATTGCTGTTTGATTCCTTAGCTGTGGCTATGGAATACATACAATTCATTTTGTTTCCTGTAGTATTTAACAAAGATGTGAAAGTGTTGCTAGAGATTGTCGGATTGTACTGTTGGTAAGAAAGCTGATCTGGTAAGGGATACACAGAGCTTTGTAGATGAGATTGTACTCCACTTGAAGTATGAGAATGTTCCTTGACTTAGTTTTACTTCCGAATGCTGTCACAGCAGATGTGATCAAAAGGAGAGCTGAGCCACAGTGGTGTAACTGGGAAAATGGTTGTCATATTTTGCAAGTCCTGCATTGTTCTCTTTTCCACCCTATATATCTCCATCACGTTGATATACAGTACTCAAAACAAAATTATGGCTCAGTCAACTGGAGGAATGAGGGAATGGAAGTGTTACTCTTTTGGATGATTATCCCCAAAGTCACAACACAGCACACTAGCCATGATGGCACATAATTCTGGGCATTGCCATTGAAAAAAAGAGAATAACTTTTCCAAATTTTGGTAGGAATACAGTAGAGATGTGCTTTCTGGCTATACCTTTTCCATTAGTAAAATCAGATGAGGGGACAATAAGGAGACAAACAACTTGCTGTGAAACTTGAGGAACCAGATGGGGTGGAAGCCTGTGAGCCACTTCTCCCTGTTGGTGAAGGTAGGACTTTGATAGGGAAACTGGACAATGATACTATGACCGAACTATAAAGAATCATGCTTTAACCTCTGCTGGGAAGAGAGTATAAGCATAAGGTATTTTATTATAAGGGGTTCCCTTATAATGACAACACAGAATTAAAAGGCTGAGCTGGGAACATACTAGCCAGGACTTGTTAGCCGAACTTTATAGGGCTCAGCTCACAGGCTGCTATGTTTTCAAATACACAGAAGCAACTACCTTTTTACCAGTTGCAAAAAAATTGAAACACATTACTTGATATGCAGTTTCAACACACTCATAACAGAGAATTACACTATTACATATTTATTACATTATTATACAGTGTAATAATTTGGCTAAGAATATGAGATATGAGCCAAAATGTTTCTGGTTCAAACTGTATCTCAACCACAAATTCTTCAAGTGGTCTTATTTATTTTATTTATATGCCACCTTTCTCCCCAAACAGAAAAAGCAAGGCATTTTCTCTTTCTACCGCAGGTCTGCTAAAACAAGCTGCTGTATTACTGTGTCAACATAAAAGAAGTGGTTTCAAGATGGGAAACATTTATTTATATTTGTTTATATTAAGCTTTATATGCCGTTTTTTCCATTCAAATGGCCTACAATTAAAACATCGAGAACAACATGGCAATATACATATTTTATTAGTTAAATGATAAACAATGCAAAATCTCAAGCCATCTTGGCCCAGAAGAACCTACAAAAATTAATTAGTTTTCATCAGTATACAAAAACAAAGCAGGCAAATAACTGAATAAGCATCCTAGGGAAAGTGGGTGTTTGTATTTCCGATAACAGTGAGGCTTGGAAAAGAGGCTCCGGTAGGACTTCTGATGGTTAGAAACTAAGTAGGGCTTTTAACTATCTTGGTCCTACCTATAAAGATGGTAAGGGCTCAGAACAAACCAGGGACCAGTGCAGATCACAAGAGTGCCACAGAAGGATGCTCTATAAAACAGGTGCCTAGCACTACAATTCTATACCAGGTATACTTCCCAACCATTTCTTCCCTGAGACACGGCCTCATTTTGAGCATCTTGGAATTAGTACGAAAGGAATGTTTCTCTCCAACTCCTTTTTTTAAAAGACAACACTGCATGCAATTTCCTCTCCAAGGGTGTTCATTTTTAAAAGTGTATCCATCCTAACAGCAGCAGGGTTCTATTTAGAAACACCAATTACAATTTACCATAATTTGTTCCCTATTCTTTTAGCTAAGTATGTACTAGCCATGGCTTCTTTTAAAGGACCACAATTCTGGCCCTCTGGCTTATGTCTCAAGACAGTGGGAGAAATGATAAACAACCCAGAAACTGGTACAGTATAACCAAGCCAAACCACAAACAAAGAAATGAAAACAAAATTATTGGGGTACTTTAAAAACAATCAAGTTTGTGTCAGTGTGAGCCTTTGTAGATTATTTATTATTTATTATAAATATATTTGCTCCGCCTTTCTCCTCAAAAAGGACCCAGGGTGACTCACATCATTAAAAGACAATGTTTAGAAGTCAAAAACAGGAAGTATATATATATTTTAAAAGAATCAAACAAATACGCAAAAATAGTAAACTAAATCAACAATCTACAGTACTTTCTTAAAAAAGAATCAAACAAATACCACACAAAAATACTAAACTAAATCAACCATCTACTTTCTTAGATGCATAAGCTACTTAGCCACAATATATGGGGGGGGAGGGGGAGGACCCACAGAAGATGGATACAGGCACACAAAATGGATTTTCAAAGTGACAATATAATTCTTAAACAATAAACTCTGAGACTGATGATTACCTAGGAAACCAATCTTTTTCCTGGACTGTCTGTCATATGAGTACAGCCTGGTTTTTGAAGTGCAGGGATGTTAAGCCAGGAAGTAGCTTGGGTTTTTTTTTAAACTCCCTGAATCTAACAAATCAAATATTGTACTGTACACTAACAACACGACTTTGGCTTTCCAATTCCATTTTCCATGCCTTTCTCCGTCTTCACTGGGCCTCCACCCCCACCAATGTGTACCTGCATATAAACCTATGGCTAAATATTTCATTCCATGTATCCGAAGAACTGGACCATAATCCACAACAGCTCACACCCAAATAGATCTGCTTGTCCTTAAAGTGCCTCAATACTTCTGGTGCCACTGACAAGAGAGGACGATCTCCTTGGGCACGCTAAAACCCCGCAGGTCTTATTTGGCATAATTTGCCGCAGAAAGAGGTGGTTTTTGATGGATCCGTTGTAACAACTCTAGGGAGCCATGAGGATGACGTTTTGATTTTATGGATCCCACGTTTGCCTTCTTCCCACCGTTTGCTTTTAAGGCACCCCAACACCCTCTTCTGTTTTCGCTGCCAGAGCCTTAGCGCACATCGGAAGAAAACAGGCCTTTTGCGATGCGATAGGCTCTAACCTAACCCTAGATCAAAGCAGACCCTGTTTCCACCTAAGAGACCCCTCCCCGCGCTCCGCGCCACCGGAGAGACGCCGTAGCTAATCTATGCTAATACGTAGTTACATCCTGGCGTAACTTCAGCATAGTTTCAGAACATTCTCCAAAGAGATAACTTTAGCGCCCTAGCACCGCAGCCGCGGCGGCGCTCCTCTCAATCTCAACCTCTTTCTCTCTCTCCCTGCTCCTTCTCTGCGTCAAAATAGCTGGGAGGCAAAGCGCGATCGCAGCCAGCAGCCGCAGCCGGGCGAAGGAAGTCCCCACCCTGCGCGGCTCCGCCTGGTCCCATGCCCGGCGCTGGGCTTCCCGGAGGCCCGAGGGCAGGGCTTCATATGCTGCCGGCTGGGCCAAGGCACGGAGCGGCGGGCTCGCCTCGCCTCCTCTTCGCCGCCGCCTCCTTCCTTCCTTGCGGCTCTTCTGCGTGGCGCAGGCGACCCATTGAGGGTTTGCCGGGAAGTAGTCACTC